CTGGGCCGCCGCTCGGGGTCTTCTGGCCCCAGGCGCCTGCTCTGGAGGGGGGGGAGAGGAGGGGCAGGCCGCTGGAGCGAGGAGGGAGGGGAGGAGGCAGGACTGGCTCAACTCACGTGGGCTCAAAGCGCTGAGGCACCAAGCCTGCAGCCCAGCTTCGCCAAAGCGCTGGGCGAGACCGATGCCACAGTCACGAGTGCAGACTGCGCTCAGCATTCAACACGCATCGTCCTCGTCATCGCCATCGGGGTGGAGGGGAAGGCCTGGAGGTTGTCTTGTGCCCCTCCCCCGTACCGTCCGTTGCCGGGGGAAGCGGTGGGGGTCGGGCCTGCGAGCGCCTCGGCATGCCTGCGAGCTCCCAAGCATGCCTGTCGGCACCACAGCATGCCTGTGATGCACCGCGCCCTGCCGGTGGGGGAACCAGCACCCCCGCGCTTGCGTCAGCACCAGTACGGGGAGAGGGGGAGGGAGAGGGGGGGGGGAGGGCGATCCCCCGTAACGGATGTTACGGGTTCACCGCCGAAGAAGTCCACATCTCGAGGAGGAAAGACTGGACCGGACACTTCGGGCGGACAAGACAACACGAGAGCATAGGAGCCCCACGGGATACGGCCCAACCCTCCAGCCCCAGCCTGGACCCGAGGGGGCCCAGAAGGGGCCCGGGAGCGTTGAGTGATAGCATCCATGGGCATAACCTCGCCCGCCTCTGCTATCTCACGAGAGCCATCCAAGCGGCAGAGGGGAGGACGAATGGGAGGAGGAAGGAGAGGAGGAGAAAGGAAAAGATGTTCGATTCAGCCGAGCGGGCCGATTGTAATAAGGCTTGACAGCTGATGGCAGTACGGCAACAGAGTGGAAGCAGGTATAAACTGCAGCGTATTCTCCCAGCAATGAGGCCGATACACGAGGCTGCGAAGCGCAAGCGCCACTGGAGGGAGGAGGATGTTTGATTGCGGTGCTGATCAGCCGCAGACACTGCTGTCCATAGAGAGCAGCGCGCAACGCGCAGGACACGTTCGGGCGCCATGGCAGCTCGAGCAGCACACCATTCGGTTTGCGTATGAAGGCCCGATCCCCAACTGATGGGAAAGAACTCCACCAGGTTAGAGCAGGCCATCTCGAGCAGCACACCACGCACCATACGAGACCTATGTTGCTTCACATCAGCAGTTTGGCCCCTGCTGACTTTTTTCAAAATAATATATTGGGATGAAACGCTGCCGCTGGATATATCGAGCACAGTTGATCACAACACAAACGCTCCTGCGATCCCCGCCAAAATGGCAAGAAATGGTAAGCTCAGATCCGCATGGCTACATTGCAACCGAACCGCTTGACCACCATCTCGACCGAACTGGCGGAATTCGACCACGCGTCCGACAAAATACGTTCGACGAGGGATGCTTTGCACAATGCCCCGGCCACGGGCAGCGCTACGAGGGAAAGCGGGCCCTTCGATGTGTCACTTTCAGCGCCCGTGAAAGTGACACCTCCCATGGCCCACTTAAAGAGCACCAGAAAGGCTCCAAGAAGGCCCCGAGAAGGCCCCAGGGCGGCACCAAGAGGGCTCCCAGAGGGACCCAAGAGAGGCCCCAAGAAGGGCCCACGAGGGCCCTCCGCGGTGTCACTTTCAACGCCCGTGAAAATGACACCTCCCAGGGCCCACTTAGGGCCTCAGAAAAGCTCTAAGAAGGCCCCGAAAGGGCCATAGAGAGCCGCCCTGGGTTCAACTCCGCGTGGCGGAGTTGGAAGCGATAACTTCAATCCCCTACTGGAGGCCTCTTAGGGGCCCTAAGACGGCACTGAAGAACCCCATCGGGGCTTTTTCAAAGGCAGAGGAGGGCGCAAAAAGGGGCCTCAGTGAGCCCCTGGTCTAACTCCACCTGGCGGAATTGGAAGCGATATCGCCCGGCGCCTTCCTGGAGCCGCTCGGAGCTTCCAAGACGGCTCCAGAAGGCCCCAGGAGGGCCCCAAGAGGATCGAACGACGATTCCTGGAAGTGCACCAGTGAGACCCTTGTTGACCTCCGCCTGGCGGAGTTGGAAGCGACAATTTCCAGTGCCCTCTTGGGGCCTCTGGGGGGCCCCTCAGAAAGCTTTGGGGAGCGCAGTGAAGGCCTTCGCAGGGCCGCGTGAGAGCCGTACCAGGGCCGCATGTGTGCGCGGATGGGTGCGACGAGTGCTGACGCTGACGAATATGAGAATGATGAGGGCGATCAAGGCTGGCCCGAAACAAATCCTGGCGCCATTGCAGGCCGCCGATTATCGGCCACGCCGCCAGGACGACGCCAAGCAACAAAACGACACCAACCAACAAACCGACACCAACCAACAAACCAACAATTCGACACCGGCCAACAAAAGGACACCAAGCAACAAAACGACACCAAACAACAAAACGACACCAACCAACGAAACGACACCAACCAACAAAACGGCACGAATCAACAAAACGGCACTGACCAACCAAACGACAAATAACTTCACGACACCAATGAACAACGCGAAATCCACCGACCGCCAACCAAGCATAAAATCAACCGACACAACGAAACCAACCCATAGAGCCAGACCAACCACAGGATTCGTGAGTCGGGGTAGTCATGGAAGTGAGCCGCTGCAGCCCGCGGAAGCCATTAACAGTGACCAGAGCACCGCAATGCAGCAACGTCCCCGGGCGGCGGCGGGAGTCGTGGATCTCCCGCGGGACTGGAGCGTAGCGAGTTCGTCCTGGGTCCGGTTTAGTGAAGTGAAGAATTTCGGGGTGCTTGCATGGCAAAAACCTTCACTTCGCTAATCTGGGGCCCCTGGAGCCCCAGGGCGTTTCAGGTCCCCTCGCTGTCTGGGTAGTCCAGGGGGCGCAGTGGCGGCTTACCAGAGGCCCTGTTCCCTAGCCTCACTTGCTTTAACCCGTGGTGCTCGACGGCCGTCTCGGAGCTGTCTTGTGGCGGTCTGGGGCAATCCCGAAGCCTCTTGGAGCCATCCCAAGGCCCCAAGGCGCCACCAGTGGGGGCCCCAAGAGAGCTCCCAGAGGGCCCCGAAAGGCCTACAACAGATTGCACGTTCGCGCGAATTCATTGTACCACTTTGGGGGGTCCCTCTTGGGGCCCTCGGGGAACGTTCTTGGGGCCCTCCGAGGGCCCACTGGGGCCCCGGGAAGGCCCCAAGAACGCTCCCAGAGGGCCCCAAGAATACTCCAAGAGGGCCCCAAGAGGACCCCCACAAGTGACAAAAACTATTTGCATGAGGGTGCAACTTACTCGGCGCCTCTTGGGGCGCTCTTGGAGCCGTGCTGGGCGCCACTCGTGGACGACATGGGCTGGGCGACGGCATGTGGACCCTGTCGCTTGGGCCATCGGGGGTGCTCCCCAATCGGGCCACGAAGCTTGTGAGCGTATGACGGAATGGGCTGGGCGGCGGCCTGTGGGCCCTGCCTGTGGGGCCGTCGGTGTAGCTCCCCGTGGGGCCACGAAGCGTGTGAAACGTATGCCGAAATATGCTGGGCGGCGGCCTGGGAAACCTGCCGCTGGGACCTTTTTTTGGTGGAGCTGCCTCTCGGGGCACGAAATGTTTGAGGGTGTCATCAATGTGGCCTGGGCGACAACATGTGGACCTTGCCGCCGGGACCTCCGATGAGCTCCTCATGGGGACACGAAGCGTCTGAGGGGCGTGCCGACATGGGCTGGCGGCGCACTAAGGACCCTGCCGATGGGGCCTTCGGTGGAACACCTCACAAGGCCACGAGACTTGCGGGGGATGTGGCGAAGCAGAGACGCGGGGGAACAAGGGGGGTGTTTTGATGATGTTGATGAGGATGGTGGTGGTATTGATGATGGAGACGGCGAGAATGCTGATGATGCTGATGATGATGGTGATGGCGACGATGACGATGACGATGACGACGGGGACACGCGGAGAGCAGGGGCAAATACGCGAAGAGGGAGGACGAGGGAGGGGCCGGAAGGAATGACGCGGGGCGGTGTATCTTCAAAACGAAGAACCAACACTGCAATATGGTAGGAAATTTCTGGACGACCCCCCCCGTGGCGCGGTCAATGTCCGCGACAGCATCGCTGGCACTACGAACGAAATGATCGAACTCTTCCTGCGACGTTACCCGCGGGGTGGATCAGCCAGGGATGGGGGTCGAACCCGCCCCAGCGCAAAGCAAATGTACAATCCTGAGAAACCCCAGCCCACATCAACCGATCCGCAACAAGCACGCAAGCCTTTGACGACCCCAACGCACGTGACATCGCATAACGCGACGCGCCATCGAAAACGTTCGACGCGCGGCATCGGAATGACATCGGGCTTCATGGAACGTCGAATGGAAAACATGAAAAACCGCCCTGTGGGCTCCGAGACCCAAAATTACTGATGTGAAGGATTTCGGCTCGTCGACACCATACCGACGGCGGGCGCACGACACATCTGCTCATGAGTGCAAAAGCTGGGGGGAAGGAAACAGGGAGGAGGGACAGAGCTGGGATCCGGAAGGAGGGAGGGAGCAGCGCATCAAAATCTTCAAGCTTGAACGGGCATGACACCTTACCTCTGCCTCCCTCCGTCACTTCCTGTGTCCCCGCCTCCTATCCGTGGAATGACCAGGCGTCTCTGCGGCCTGAAGGTACTAAAGAGAGAGGAGGCAACATAGGGAGGAGTTCCATGGACGAGGAGGAGAAGGAGGCGGAGGCTAGGGCGGAAGGAAGAGAAAGAGGGGAGGGAGAAAGAAGGAAGGAGAAGCGGACCCCCTGCTGTGTTGGACCCTTCCTCCATCCATCCATCCATCCATCCATCCATCCATCCATCCATCCATCCATCCCCTCCTCCACCTCCTCCTGAGGGCTGGGGGGAAGACAGAAGGGAAGAGGGAGGCTGGAGGGAGGATCACGGATCTAGGCGGGGTCTGACGCCGTACGAGGTCCGAGGGATCCTGGGGTATCCTGACTGGTCCTGGAGCCCATCTTGACCGCTCTCCCACTAACCAGCCCCCCCCCG